GTTGTTGGAGCTGTACTCAGCCAGGCAAGTGAGGAGTATTCTGTCACACTGGTGACTTGTACCTCGTCCATGAAAGACAGGCTTTAGGGAGTCAGGAGTTAGTTACAGAGGCAGCACTACTAGGGTCTGATCTAATCTTGCAGCCACTGCATTTATCTAGGTAGTCCAGTCTGTTAAAGTAAGCACAGTGCCTCTCCAATCTCTGCAGTATATCCCTTGATAGTGAGTTTCACCCCTTGAAAAGCAGCTGTCTTATAGAAAGTATGACAACAGGACAGAAGGAGACCATTCAGCTTGTGTTACATGTGTTGGCTTACCATAAGAAACAATTCAAGAAGCCTCACTCCTTTATTTTTTTTTCAATTTGCCCTGCAAAGTTTTACTTTCTCCAGCATAATGTGGCATAGTCTCGGCGTTTGAAGCAAACTTTGTGTTGGTAGTTGATTGTTGTCAGTCTTAGCTCAGTTTTATTGAAGGAATTCATGACAATATTAGTGCAGTATGTTTCTTGCAGTGCAGGTGGCACCTTTCTTGTGCAGCAGCAAAATCCATTATTGGCTATTGACACAAAATAAGGTCTTAAAAGTCATTTCTCTGCTCAAAAGAGATCATTCTGAAAGGCAGTGTTACACCCTTCCAAATAATAACTAATTTTGGATGATGCAATACATTAGTCTATTATTCCTCATTAAATTCCATGAGAACTTCATTTATGCTATTCCAATTAACTTGCTGAAAGCCAACAGATTTAGAACAGGTTCTTCTCTACTGCTATCAGATGCATGAACAGACCTCTCACTTATTAGAGTTGATCTTTCTCTGTTCCTTCCCTGTAGCTGTAACACTGTATGCTGCAATCTGTTCTATTACCCTGATGTATTTAAGTAATGTATGATTTGTCTGGTTAGCATGCAAAACAATACTTTTCACTGCATCTCGGTACACGTGAAATGATAAATCAAATGAAACTAAACAAAGTCAAAACGCTAGTTATCTTACATTAATCTCTCATTCTTTTCCCTGTTTTAGTTAGCAGCAGAGATCAGTCCCGCATTGGACATTTACTTTCCTGACAAAACTGAAGTACAGATAATCGCTGAACCAGGCCGTTATTATGTGACCTCATCCTTCACACTGGCTGTGAATATCATTGCTAGAAAAATTGTTAAATATTCTCAACCCAGCTCCAACGGTAATTTTCTTCACCATCAAAATATTGAAAACACAAATAGTATATTGTTCTTATGTGAAAATATATTATGTATGATAGTGATGAGACATGGATTTATTCAAGTAATTAACGGAATTGCAGGAGATAGGACGTGGAAGTTAGCTGCTTCACACAGACAAAAAGGGAAGAAAAGTAATTGCTGTGATTTGCTTCAAGACATGACAGTAATGAAAACTCTGAACGTGCAATACACGTGGTAATAGCCTGGTGTTACATTCTCAGTCTGTGTTGACCTAGCTGATAGTTGGAAACTGGATCGAGCCTCAAATAAACACATCATGACCCCTCAGAAATCCTGAAGTACTCTGCAAGAAGTGCACAGCAAGTTGAATCTTCTGATGGACAGTTCCCCAGCTATTTGGGACCTGTGCATATGTCTCCATCTCTTAGTTAGAGAGTTTTGGGGGAGATTTAACTTACTTATTTGAATATTTAGAAACAAAAACAGAAATTGCTGGAAAATCTCAGCAGGTCTGGCAGCATCTGTGGAGAGAAAGCAGAGTTAACATTTTGGGTCCACTGACCCTTCTTCAGAAAGTAAACTAAATACAACGGTGAAAAGAGCAGGTCAAGGGTTAGGATTCCGATCAGCAAGTAACTCATCTCCTGACTCCCCAAAGCCAGTCCGCCTTCCACAAGGCACTGGTCAGGAGAATAATGGAGTTTGCCTCATTTTCCTGCACGAGTGCAGCTCAAACAACACTCAAGAAGCTTGACATTAACCAGGACAAAGCATCCTGCTTAATTGGCATCACATCCACAAACTCCACTCTTCCACCACTGATACTTAGTAGCGCAGTGTGTATCATTTACAAGATGCACGAAAGTTCTTTAGACAGCATCTTCCAAACCCACAACCACTTCCATCTTGAAGGACAAAGTACCAGATATATGGGAACACTAACTTCTGCAAATTCTCCTCTAAGTCAGTCACCATTCTGACTTGGAAATATATCAATGGTTCGAAGGTTTTGATCCAGCAACTCCCTCCCTAATAACACTGTAGGTCTATCTTGAGCACTTGAACTGCAATGGTTCGAGAAGGTAGCCCACCATCACTTTCCCAAAGGCAACCAGAGCAATAAATACCCTGGATTCCTATTGATTCCAGCTTTGCCAGGGCCCCGTCATGCCACACTCAGTCCAATGCAGTGTTGGTGTCAAGGGCTGTCAGTCTCGTTTCACCTCTGGCATTCAGCACGTCAATTGATGATGGAAAATAGGGAAATGGTGGAGCTGTAATTATGTGGTTGCCTTCACTGTGGAAGACTTCTCAAAGATACTTGAAAGCCAACCGTGAATGGGAGGGAGCAACCTAAAACAAAAGGGAAAAGGTGCAAGGAAAGCAACAAGAGCAAAAGACTGAAAAGTTCCCAAGATTGGGTGCCCTGTCATTGAAAAATTGCAGCTGAGGTAATGGTTTTAATCTTGCAAAATTCTGTAGATTCTGGAAGGATCCCACCAGATTAGAACATATCTAATGTAACATCTCTGTTCAAGAAAGGAGGGTGACAGAAAGTAGGTAGCCATTGGCCAGATTGCATAACATCCCTTGGGAAATTGCTGGAATCCATTACTAAGGATATTGTCGCAGATAAGTAGACACTCATAACATACTCAACATGAAGCATCAATATTGCCTTGTGAAAGAGAGATTCTGCTTTTGTTTATGGAAGGAATAAGGTGAAAACAAAAGAATCTATGGATTACCTGTGCTTGGTCATACTGAAAGGGAATGAATGGACAGATTTTATTGTCACGTATATTTAACAGTGAAAAGTACAATAAAATAAAGTGAAAATCTTCCACTGTCACCATAATCCAGTGCCATTTTGAATAGGTTACAAATATCAAAAAAATGTTATAGCTTAAAGGGAGTCCATAAGCCTTCTGCCACCGCTTTGCTGCTGCCAGTGCCGGACCCAAACAATGTCAAGTCGCCACTCCTTAGGTGCCATCTTTTGCCGCTGGGCCTATGTCGCCTCCATCAATGCAGCTGATACCAGGTCCTGTGCTTGCCTGTCCGCCGGACACCTCCTTGACACTGTTGCCAGAGTCCGGCTCCGGCCTTACCAACCACCTTGCCGCCACCACTGCCGGAGTCACATCAGCATGAATAAAGAATTGGTCAGTCATCTGAAAGGACAGTATAGGATGAAATGAATATACTTACAATGGTAAGCAGTAACCCTGGCCCCAAAACAAGTTCTTTGAACCTTGACCCTCTGACTCCTGACTGTCCAACTGTTTCTTCTGACCCTCCAGCTTCCTCAAACCTCAGATGTCTTGACCCTCCAATCCTATGGGCCCTCCTCCAATCCCTCAGCTTGACCATCTGACTCATCCCATCTTCCTTACCTTCCTCGATTCAACCTCACTCCCTGCCACTCTACCCACTTCCAGCAAACCCTCCACCAACCCATCCAGCTGGCACCCTGCTAACCAACCATCCACCATCATGCCACATCATCAATTAACTCATTCACATCCATTCACTGACACACTGGAAAGCTGTTTAAATGTTCCAAAGTATTTGAACATGCTGGTGATTGAACCAATGCCAGAATATGGCATCTTGTGCCATAAAAAGGCAGCAGGCTTGGTTTCCTTGATGAAGGAGGATGCTGACATTCGGTCTGTTCCATGTTTCTGAAGAGGCTGAATTCAGAAGTCTTGGTCGAAAATGCAGAGCTCAGTCACAGTGGAATCAGTAGCAAGGGGTAGCAATCTGATTTTAAAATTGGTTGGGCTCTCACTCCTTGACTGTTGTTCAGTAATTTATATTAAGAGGGTTTATGCATGGTTTTCTGAAGTAGATGGGATCAGACTTTGATCTGTTGCACCCAACAGAGGTCTAGAGTTATATAGCAAATAAGGAGGGCATTCAGTCCATTGTGCCGTGCTGGCATTTAAAACTATTCAATTAGTTTCATTTCATACTGTTCTTTTTCTTCATAATCCTACAATTCCTTTCTTTACAAGCATTTGTCCAATTACATTGTCAAAATGACAACAAAGTTTGTTTCCATTACCCTTTCAGACTGTACATTCCAGATGAAAGTAGCATTTTGTAATTCACACAGAAAGACATGTCAACATAGGGTAACAATGTGCATTGATTGTAAGGTGCCACATCAAAATGAACCAATAGAATACATCTCCACTTGTGTGTTCCTGCTTTAAAATTTGTACAGTTCATCGTCCAGTAAACTGGACACATTCAGCTCACTATAACCAATGACAAATGACAAGTGATGCTGCATCCTGGGAGCACTCAAGCAAAAAATTAATTCCAAAAATGGAAATTATTTGAAACTAAACTAAAATCAGGCACGTGTTCCACTGCTCACCTTTCCTGATTGTGCGACATAAAGTGGCACAAATGTCAACAAAAAGGGGAAGAAGAACTTTCTACTTTACCTTCATAATCCTTTTTGACCATCACAGTGGCAGTTTATAAAGTCTATTTGTGAATCTTTTAATAAGTCTTCAACTTTTTTTCCTTAGATGAGGAAGCTGGGAATGAGAAGACCATGATGTACTATTTAAATGACGGTCTGTATGGGTCTTTCAATAATTTTGCACAATATCGTGAACTATTGAAGCCAATCCCATATAAAGTAAGAGTTTTAGGAAAGAATTTTATAAAAGAAAGTATTACTTCTGTTGATAGCTATGTTGTATTGTTGTAAATTGTTGCAGCCTACTGAAGAACAATTACTTTTACTTATATAGCACCATCAATCTAAAATCATACAAAGTGACTCATCAGGAATATTAGGAATCAAATTGTGACACCAAGCCACATGAGGAGATATCAGGAGAAGTGACCAAAAACATGTTGAAAGAGCTAGGTTATAAGAACCTTCTTAAATGAGATTAAAATGGAGAGATTGGGAAGTTTAAACTGTTTTCTTGTGGGAAATTGAAAGCTTCAGTCCTAAGCAGCTAAAGCTCCAGTTGAGAATGTTGGAAGAATTAAAATCAGATTTATATAAGAAAGAAAGAATATAAAATAACAAGCTATAATTGGACAAGCTCATAGATCAGTGAAGGATGCAGAGCTGGATGGTTACAGAAATGAGGCGGAATGGGGCCATGGACGAATTTGAAATCAATGATGAAGATTTTAAAATCAAAGCACTACTTGATTAGGTACCAATGTAGGCCCGGTGGTGAAGGATGAACAGGATTTGGTGTAATTCAGGATATGGGAGGCTGAGTGTTATGGATATGGATGGTGGTTGCAGTAGATGATGAGCTGGTCCACTGTAGAAATGGACATCTGAGGTTCTACTGGATCACATATAGGACCACAGAAATAGCATTCAAAATCTTGCATTTTAGAAGCTTCCCCGATATTTAGGAATATTTTTCAAAGGTCAATTTAAAAGCTGTGACAACGGGAGTAAAGGTGGAGGTTAGCCCTAACCCTAAAACTATCACAGGTTAGATGAATTTGCTTAGTTGATCGGTTGCCAAAGAACACACTCTTTGACATAAGGGAATATTTGAGATAGGGAATATTCCTTCTTAAAGCCATCCTTACTTCTTAATGGCTGACACATATGTCAGTGAAGGAGTCGATAATGTGCCTTTCAATGACCACTTGGAAAACTTAATTCCTCTTCCAACAGATGCTCACAGCACAAACATCTTCTATCATTTAAGATCAGTGGAGAATACTCAGTGTGAGGGATATGTATTTTGAGAAAAGTATAGAAAAATAAGGCTCTTTGTCCTTGAAAGGGACTGTACAAATAAAGACATTTTGGAAGTTAATAACATATTCCAAGCAATCTGAGAAAATCATATGGTGGAATTGGAGGCCATCCAGACAAGGTTCACCAGATTGATTTCATGTATGGAAGGATCTTCTTAGGAGAGGTTGAGTAAGTAGAACTTCTATTCATTGCAATTTTGATGAATAAAGGGAGACTTGATTGAAACATATTATTCAGATTGGCAGAGTAAACTTGAAGAGGTTCTTCCCCCTTGTGGGAGAGTTTAGGACCAGAGCCTGGAATCTCAGGGTAAGGAATCATTCACTGAAGACAAAAAATGAGGAAGAATTCTTTTTCCGTCAGAGGATGGTGAATCTATAGAAATTTTTACCTCAGAGATTAAATCGTTAAGTATATATTCAAGTCTGAGAAAGGGAATGAAGGGTTATAGACATAAGGCAGGGCAGTAGAGTTGAAGATCATCAGATTAGCCATGAACATACTGAATGGAGGAGCGGACTCAATGGGCAGAATGACTGACTTCTGCTCTTCAAGCTTATGGCGTAAAATAACAAAAGACAAAGGAACCTGTGCACAAAATATTTAAGGGCAAGTTCTAGACAGAACCCAGTATGCAATAGTAGAGTCACAGAATCATACAGCACGGAACAGACCCATCAGTCCAAATCGTCTATGCTCACCATTACCCCAAACTAAACTAATCCCACCTGCCAGCATTTGATCTATATCCCTCCAAACACTTCTTATTCATGTGCTTACCTAAATGTCTTTTAAATGATGTAACTGAACCTGCTTACACCACTTCCTCTGGAAGTTCATTCCATACATTATCCATTTTCTGAAAAAAAATTGCTCCTCATGTCTTTTTTAAATCTTCCTCCTTTCACCTTAAAAATATGCCCCCTTGTCTTAAAATCACCCATCCTATGGAAAAGACACCTGCCATTCACCTTATCTATACCCCTCATTATTTTGTAAACCTTTATAAGTTCACCCTCAACCTGCTATGCTCCAGTGAAAAAAGTCCCATCCTTTCCATATAATTCAAACACTCCATTCGCAGCAACATCCTGGTAAATCTCTCTGAACCCTCTACAGCTTAATAATATCCTTCTTATAACAGGAAGACCAAAATTAAACACAGTATTCCAGAAGAGGCCTCACCAATGTTCTGTACAACTGCAACATGACTTCCCAACTCCTTTACTTAAAGGTCTGCGCAATGAAGGCAAGCATGTTAAATGCCTTCTTAACAATCTATATATGAAAATGATTCACGATAATCTGAACAATGATCAAGTAGTAGGGACATTTTAAAAGAAGTCTGGAGTATTCAGGAGGTAGGAGAATGCCCTCGAGTGGCTTGGGGTCTGATGGAAAATTGAGCTCAGCTGGGAAACAGCTTTTGCCATTTGTACTTAGCTGTGTAACTTAAATATGCTCATAAAGTGATCAACAAAGGAATGAGAATGGAAAATATTAATAGCAATGAAAAAGGAAACAGCAATGATCAACATATACAGGATCTTGGCTTTGAATGATGACATAAAATAGTTGGTAGTGAGTCATCCTTATGTTTTACATTTCTCCACATTTTTACTTCCATTGACTTCCCCATGAATTACACTTTGAAGTTAAGAAAATTTACCTGGTATTTATTTCGCACAGAAACACTCCCTTGACCAAAAGCTGTATAACACCAGGATTTGGGGACCCACCTGTGATGCATGGGATCATATTTCCGACACCTGGAAGCTGCCTGAACTGGAGATTGGAGACTGGCTGCTCTTTCAAAACAATGGAGCATACACCATCAGCACTTCAACCATGTTCAATGGCTTTCATGCAGCCATGACACATTACGTAATATCCAAGGAGGCCTGGTAAGGAAAAGAAAGTATCTATCCCTCAAATTTAGAAAATGGGATATTATGTTACATTTTATTGTAGTGATATGTTGCAAACAGGTTCCTTTGCGCAGATGTAATATGTACAGCATATAAATATGGGATATATAGAATTTAGTCTGTGAAACCTTCTATACAGGAATACCCTCCAGAAGATAAAGAAAGAAACGCAATCTCCAGTGCAAGAACAGGATGATGTAGATACTCAACACCTGGTCATCAGACATTAAGATGTAGGATAGAAGCAGGCATTTGGTCCATCGAGTCTGCTTTATCATTTATTGCAATTATGACTGATCTGATAATCCTTAACTCCACTTGTCTGCTTTTTCCCTAAAATACTTGTCTCCCTTATGATTAAAAAGTTGTCTTTCTCAGCCTTGATTATTCATAATAATCCAGCCTCAACAACTGCCTGTGGTAAAGATGTCCACAGATTCACTGCCCTCTGACAAAAGAAATTCCTTCTCATCTCTGTCTTAAATGTATAAGTTCCCAGGCTCTCCCACAAGAGGAAACTTTCCTCATTTACCCTGTCAAGTCTGCTACAGAACTTTCTTCAAATGAGGTCTCCACTCCTTCTTCTAATCTTCAATAAGCACAGGCTCACCATACTCAATCTGTAACCCCTCCGTACCTGAAGTAAACTTAATGAATGTCTGCACTCCCTCCAATGACAGGTACCCTTCCTTAGATAAGGGGAACAAAACTGTTCACAGTATTCTAGGTGTGCCTTGTGTTGTTTTAGCAAGAATTCCCTCTTTTGAAACAGTGATGAATATCCCTTTCATCATCAATGCAAATGATGAAAATTATTCATATTCCTCCAACACTTAGATAAACATACAAACATATTTGTTCAGCTTGGCTTTACATTACTCCTTGTTGATGTACTGTGATGGATTAAATTGCTAACAATCAATGTTCAGTGTAATGAAACCTATTTATCTTCTTTGTGATGACAATTTTTCACTTTCCCAGAGCTTTGCCATCCAGATGAATAGGCAAAAGTAGTCCTAAAAGTAAACTTTCTTCTGCTACACTGTTTTTCAATGTTAAATGTATGTAACTTGACTGTCAATTAAATTTAATGGGATAATTTAATCATCAACAAACTGAGTCACAGAGTCCTACAGCACGGAGACAGACCCTTTGGCCCAAACTGGTCCATGCCGACCAAAATATCCATCCACGCTAAACCCATTTCCCTGCATCTGGCCCATATCCTTCTAAACCTTTCCTATCCACATATTTGTCCAAATGCCTTTTAAATATTATTCATGTACCTGCCTCAACCACTTCCAACGGCAGCTCATTCCATATGCGCACCAACCTCTGTGTAAAAAAGTTGCCCCCTCAGGGTCCCATAAATTCTTTCCCCTCTTACCTTAAACTACTGCTCTCTAGTCCTCAATTCTGTAACCCTGGGAAAAAAACTGAGTGCATTCACCCTATCCATGCCTCTCATGATCTTATACACTTCTATAAGATCCCCCCTCAGGCTCCTAAGCTCCAATGAATAAAGTCCTAGCTTGTCCAAACTCTCCCTATAACTCAATCCCTTGAGTCTTGGCAACATTCTTGTAAATTTCATCTGCACTCTTTACAGTTTAATAACATCCTTCCGACAGTAAGGTGACCAAAACTGAACACAATACTCCAAGTGCAGCCTCACGAACGTCCTGTAAAACTGCAACATAACTTACCAACTTCTATACTCAATGCCCTGACTGACGAAGGCCAGTGTGCCAAAAGCCTTCTTCACTGCCCTGTCTACCTGTGACTCCACTTTCAGAGAACCGTGCTTCTGAACTCCAAGAACCCTCTGTTCCACTACACTCCTTAAGGCCCTGCCATTCATCACGAAACTCCTACCTTGATTTGACTTTTCAAAGTTCAACACCTCACAATTATTTACATTAAACTCCATTTGCCATTTCTCAGCCCAGTTACCCAGCTGATAAAGATCCTGCTGCAATTTCTGATAACCTTCCTCAATGTCTACGAAACCGCCTATTTTAGTGTTATCCGCAAACTTACTAATCATGCCTCGTACATTCTCATCCAAATCATTGATACAGATGACAAACAGCAAGGGCCCAGCACCGACCCCTGAGGCACACCACTATTCACAGATCTCCAGTCCGACAAGCACCCTTCCACCTACTGCCATCCCACCTACCTTTCCCCAGTCCCACCCTTCCCTCTCGATTTATTTTCTAGCTCCCTTCCCCCTCCTTAGTCCTGATGAAGGGTCTAGGCCCGAAAAATCAACTCTCCTGCTCCTCTGCTGCTGCCTGACCCGCTGTGTTCCTCCAGCTCCATACTGTATTGACGCATTCCACTATTACTCTCTGCTTCCTACCATCAAGCCAATTGTGCATCCAATTTGCCAACTCTCCCTGGATTCCATGCAATCTAACCTTCCAGAGCAGCCTACCATGTGGAACCTTATCAAAGGCCTTATTAAAATCTATATATGCTATGTCCACCGACCTGCCCTCATCAATCTTCCTGGTCATGTCATCAAAGCACTCTAACAAATTTGTGAGGCATGATCTCCCACACACGAAGCCATGCTGACTACTCCTAATCAAGCCCTGTCGTTCTAAATGCATGCGTATCTTATCCCTCAGAATCTAGAAAAGATTCAAACTGATGGAAAGAATTCTGCTTTCTCCAGTACTTTCCCATCTTAGCTTTCCTTTCTTCTCTTATGTCGCTCAGTGGAAGTGCTTGTTCTATTCATAAAACACTCAATGTCTAAATTTTACTAAATGTTTAGAATTTCTCATGTCATAATTTAAAGAAATGCTTTAAAATAAGAATTTTTCCTATTATGTTCACAGCAACAAAAAATGTACTTTTGAAAGTGATTGTACTTGTGTCAACAGCATAGTGCTGTCCAATTTCTACCCCCTGCAGTGTAGGGCACAGTAATCATAATCTAAACTGCAAGGTGGCTGGCAACCAACTGACCGACTGAACTAAAAATTCCAATGACTTGTTGTACTCACTAGATCTTGTATTTGGCAACCAACTGACCAACTAAACTAAAAATTCCAATGACTTATTGTATTCTCTAGATCTTATATTATATTATTTCATTAAACAAAACATTCTGCATCTGTTTAATACATATTAAAGTGTTTAACTTGATAAAATAAATATTCCTTTTTTGCCTGTTCTTTGCTGCCCATCATAATTAAGAATGCTTTATGAGATGAATTCTAAAGTCTAGTACAAGTTTTAGCTCCAGAAAAGGACAATATGCCTCAGTTCTACACAGAAACCTTGTGCTTTGGGATCAGACAGGAGAATAATGCTGTTAATTTTTCATTAGGTAACTATCAGTATCGGTAGTTTTACTCATTTGTTCTTTCGTTCGTGGGCATGAATGGGAAATAAGGAAATAGAAGAGGAGTTTAACAAGTATTTTGGTTCCATCTTCATAGTAAAAGACAGAAAATGTTTCTCAAGAATAGTGGAAATTTGAGGGGGAAATTAAAACAATTATTATCACCAGATACAAAGTAATGGGTTAATTATTGGATATTATTAACCCTAGGATCTGATGACCTGCATTCTAGGCTCTTAAAAGAAGTGACTGCTGATGTGGTGGATGTATTAACGTTAATATTCCAACATTCTCTACATTCCGGAAAAGTCTCCAAAGATTAGAAAGTAGCAATGTATCACCTCTATTATAGGTCATTTCGCCCCATGTCTGTCACTGAGAAATACTAGAATTCAAAATTAAAGTTGTAGCTGCAGAACATTTACAAAATCAGAATAGAGTCAATATGGCTTTATGAAAGGAAGTCGTATTTGACAGATTGAGAGAGACTACAGAATGCTTAAGTATACAGGGATATGGGATGTCTTGTATGCTAATCACAAAAATTCAGTATGCAGATACAGCAATAATTAGTCTATTAGGAATTAGGAAGAATTTTATTCCTTAGACAGTTGGTAAAGTTTAGAATTCACTCTCTCAGTGAGAAATGGAAGCTGGAAAATTGAATATATTTTCAAGGCTGTGATAAATACGATTTCTGTGATTGACAAGTGGGTCAAAGGTTATAGGTGGCTGGCAAGAAAGTGAAGTTAAGAACACAATAATATCACCCATGATCTTATTTAATAGAACAATATTCCCAGGCTCGATGGAGTAAAATACACAATGGGGTAAAAGTGCATATATTAGTCACACCAAGACCAAGGAATTTAGGAGGGAGGAGATAATTAGATTGGTGCATTCAGACACAACTCAGTCACCACTATAAATCTCTGCATACTTTCCTTATTTTGTTATATTTTGTAACTTCGTTTATAAACGGTACACAAAACTTTGGAGGTTAGGGCCGCAAATCTCAACTCTGTGGTGTTCCTAGTGCCAATGTAGGAAGGCAAAACTCTCAAAGTGTCGATCACAGCACCTCTGACAACGCCTGCAGCTGTTAAAGGGGCTCCAGGCATGTGCAGGTAGCAACAGACAGGACGGATCATGACCATCAAGCTGATCATGTTTACAGTTTGCCATATTAGACTGCAGGCTAAAGTCCTGTTAACATTGTTTATCTCTCCTTGCAGAACAAACCCTATTCAAAAGTCAAACCATTCAACCTTCTGGTGAGATGTTTCAATTTACTAATATCTCCATACTATAGTTCTTGCACATCACGTGAAGTACGTAAGGAAGTTGGGGGTGTCACTGAGCTAATCATCATGGAGCACTGCTACAAATTCAACATGGCCACAGGTCAACTTTGAAATCAAGTAATAAGAAGTCTGGAATTAAAAACTGGTCTCAATAATGGTGACTATTAATTTTTTTGTTGTTAAAAACACAACACAGTGCTGGAAATATGCTGTCCTTACCTGCATAGCCTACATGTGATTCCATACCCTGACAATGCTTGTATCTCCGCAAAGGCCTAACAGGCCACACCCAGACAGAAAACAAAGGTTGTGCTTGCCACTAGTTCCACATTCCATGAGAATATTTTATAAACCCCAGGCTGAATTTTTCTATTTTCTGGTGAATTGAGGAAATCCACTTCCAGTTGGATCTTATCCTGAATATGATTGTGAATTATGGAGATGGTCAATGCTGAGGTGGGTATCACCTTTCAGATATAATACTACGTCAATCACCTTTTCATATTCCCAACAGAGTCAAAACGATCTGGTCATGGATAGAAATGATGATGCAGTCTGGAATATTTGGTGCTGGAATTGGCATGTCCATTTCCTCAGGGATCATGAACAAAAACAAAGTTGCTGGAAAAGCTGAGCACGTCTGGCAGCATTTGTGAAGGAAGAAACAAAAGTTAACATTTTGGGTCTGGTGACGCTCCATTAACAGGACAGAGACAGATGCTGGGTGTGAGGTAAATGCATCGGGATAGGAGTGTACAACGCATTATGCACAAACGTGTATGGGAATTTTCAAACTCTGTACTCAGCCCACGTTCTCCTGCCACATTACGTGTTCGAGGTTCACTAATGCCCTTTAGGGAAGGAAACTGCCATCTTTAGTTGATCTGGCCTATGTGTGACTGCAGACCCACAGCAATGTGGTTGACTCAACTGGATAAGATGGGAAATAAATGCTGGCCTAGACAGTAACGCCCTCATCCCATGACTGGGCAAAAAAAAGAAACCTATCTAACCAATCAGACTATAAGATGTGGCAATATGTAACACAAATGAAGCTCAGGAAGCAGTCTGTTGGACTGTTGACTCCATTGTGTAGTTGGAGATTAAACTTGTTGATCTGCTTGTTCCAGCAAACTGCCTCCGACTGCAATATCACTTTAGAATCCATCAACTGTCAGAGTCAGCAGGATAAGGCGACAGGAACTGGCACTTTGAAGTGAGTACACACACAAAGCAAGTGAGTACCTTCA